AGTGTGTAGGCAATTCTGGTAGGTAGATGTGTGCATGTGAACAGAAAATGTAGCTACATACTCCTTTACTTTCTGAATTTTTTTAAAATATGTTTTGAAATTGTTTTAATTTAAAATTTAATTTAAAATAATTTTTAAAATTATTTTAATGCAAATGTTTGTCAGTGCAACATGACTGTAGGGATGTCTGTGCTATGGCAATCCAGCATGACAGCAGTGAGGGCGTAGCTTAAACAGAGCGAGTGAAAGTTTATCCAGCTCTAGAATTAGCCTGTTAGTATTTTTTTTTTCCCAGAGGTAGCAGAAGAAAAAAATACTGTTCACTAATTTCTGGCTGGAAATTTTATTTTAGATTGTGCCAAAGCAAAAGGATATTTCTTATGGTTTCCTCTTACTACTGGCATTAAAAAAATCAGCTATTTCTAAAAAATATTAGTCCCAATTAAATCGGAGATACTGTAGCTTATCTAGGTGGGTGAGGGGTGCTGGACTCAGATCCAAATGAAATGCAGTCTTCCTATGCTCTGCTTTCCCAACTCTGTTCTTAATATGGTGTATAATAGCAAAGAGCCTCCCTTTAGCCAAAAAAAAAAAAGTACAGAGTGACTGGCTAGCATATCATTCATCTGCAATTAATAACTAAAACCAATAGTTTTTCACTAATTTTCTCTACTTTTTTTTTTTTTTCTGGCGCAGTGGTCAGTGCTCTTCCTGTATGTTAGTTCACATCTTCAGTTACAGCTGCTGTTTTAGGTGTCACTCTCCTTCTTTCTGTACACCTGTGGCTTGCAGCTCCCCATGGGATAATTTGCAGAATTGATTAAAACATCTCTTTTCCTGGCTATGGAGGGAAGAAGAATAGTGGAAGTGCTGGCATTAGCTTGGCAGCAGCTTCTTTGTTGATCCATGTCTTCTCCATTGCTTGCAGCTGGCTTTTTGTTTTGTTGACTGTGACTGACTATTTTTCCATTAAAATAAATAATAAGTTCCATGCTAAGTGAGAATTGAGTCCAAGCTGCTGAGTTTGGAACTGAACTCTTGATTAGCATTGTTTATAAATGCCTCAACAGCTCTGTGTTACCGAAATCCATGCATCATGCAGACATGTGTGCATAAATTTTACCTCAGACTGTTAAGTTTGACTTTCAGTTGCAGTTCCTAATCAAGCAGAAGGATCATTTAAAAAAAAGGATCATAAGATGGGGGACTTGAAGCACCTACATCTCTAAGGATGTCCTACTTAGTCGATCTCCCAGCCATCTCTCTCCCCTCCACTGCAGCGTGATGAGGCTTACAACGTGCACGCAGATTGTCCTTCTTGCCTTGTGCCAGGTTCTGCCAGCTCGGCCTTTAATGTGCCTGGTCTTTTCCTCCATGGATTTCTCTGACCTGGACTCTGGTGCTCTCCTGGCTCGTGGTGCTGTGCTTGGAGCCTCTCTTGGGTATCTCAGAATAGCTCTATCACGTGGCTTGGCATCTGGTCTGGTGTGGGAGATCCAAGCTCTAAGTCCTTGATTTGTCTGGATTGGAGCAGGGCATGGCACATCGGTTTCTTATATCCATTAAGTCTTTGCTTCTCTTTCTTCCTTTCACACAATGTATATTTATGTTTTGTAATTTAGAAAAAGAGAGACTGATACTCTACGTAGCCTACTGCTAGAGATTGCCTGGGAGACCGAGATTCAAATTGGGGGTTGAACTGGGAAAAACAGATGGTTCTTCAGTGAATGTGTCTCTTTCCTGATTTTCAGATGACTTAGATTTTGACCTGGTATGGAACTTGAATGCTCACGCCAGCTTTCTTTTTTACACTAAATGGTAAAACATTTTTCTGCTTCCATCTGTCCCTCCTGGTTTTAATCTAGATTTCTAACACACCAGTTTGGGATGATTTTTGAATTTGTGGGTTTTGGCTGATAAGTAGCCATGAAATTCGGACTGATCCCTTGTGCTGAATCAGATGTCTTGCTTCTAGCCCATCTTTAGTTAATCCCCTGCCAACAGGGTTCTGACCCAAAGGTTGTCTGTAATGGCATTTAACATCATTTGATTCATATTTGATCTGTATTAACAGTCACAAAAGTCAGGACATCTTTGGTGTTTTATATACACTTTGTACTTCTGGTGAGAAAAAATGTGTTTTCATAAACATTAGATGTCTGAAGATCACTTCATTTTACAAAAAAATTACATACTCAGTAAGAGTGAAAATCAAAAGTTTCCTCTACAGAAACAACTACCTCAGCCAACCAGTACAATGTGAATGTGAAAGCTCTTTCTGCTTTCTCAAGGGGAATGTGCCTCCAGGTGTCTCCAAAAAATGGTATCGGATGCTGGAACTCACGTGAAATTCTGCCTGTTTTTGTATTTTCTGTCCAATTAAGAAGTGAACAAATACATTTAACGCAATGCAAATCTGCAGTATGGCTTCTTTTGACTTGTCAAGGAAGAAACGGGCCATGGAGACCTTTCGTGTGCTCTGTGTCCGTTCCCCGATCCCTCACTCTCCCAGACCCTTCTTGTCTAGGAAGATAAAGACATTGTACTTCATAATTCTTAAACTCTTTGCCCCAGGTATTTGGGATTAACTGTGAGGATCTCAAAAAAGTATTGTTTGGAGGTATAGTTGTTAAAAACCCCCAAAGCCATCAGAGAGAGGTGGAGAAAGGGGACTCCATAAGCACCCCTGGAAAATAGAAAGATTGGATTAGGTTCGTTACAAGTGAGTTTGGAGGGTGAGTCGCAGGATATGAATACAGCATTGGGAACGTTCCCGGATCTTTTCCACAGTCCTTTTAATGTGGTCACAGATTCCTGACTGTGAGTGAAAATAAATTAGAATTAACTTCAGTGAGTGTCGAAAACATGGAGACTTTTAAATTTGTTTGGAAAAAGCATCAAGGCCTGCTATGATTTTTATTTTTTTGTCTGTACTAATTAGTGATGACAAAGCATCAAGATGGCAAAGAATGAATCATTTGGATGTTCATGAAACAACATATTTTAGTGTCACTAACATGTGGCTTTTGGGAATTCTTGAAGTAATAGAATAAGGATCCAAGGAGTATCTTTGATGAAACAGATTTATTTGAAGAGAACAGCTATTCTTAATCCAATTTCTTTGTTGATTAACACTAATAGCCAAACTACTCCTCTTGCTTCTTGAAGACTGTCAAGTACATTAACAATACATAATGACTTTTATTATCAGAATAATCGGGCTGAAGGGCCTTTGACTAAACCATGGAGCACCTTTGCATTCACATACAAAGTTAAATTGCACGTGAGTAGCAGCCACATACGTCTAGGGGGTAAGCTAGACCCCAGTGATTAGGAACAGGCACCCCAAGGTTGTGCATCTTATGGTAAGAAGTTGTAATTGGAGCATTTCTTTTTTGAACTCAGTAGAAAGTTTTAGGAGCTTTTGAAGAACTAAATGCAAAGAAGACAGATTCTTGGCATGACCCAGAACTAAACGAACTTTTGCTTTTTTTGCACTTAGCCAGTTGCTCCTTAGCTTCTGGAATTCATAGAGTCTGTTTCAGTCACTTACTGGACTTGTAAGATTTTGGTTTGATACACATAGTATCTGCATTAAGTTATAGAGCCAAATAGTATTTCTTAAAATTGAACTTCTATTTTAATTCGGCGTGTACATTTATGGTACTGCATGTAATCAATATTTTTCTCCAGAAAACCGATGGCAGCTTTTAAAATGCAGATAATTTAAATTGTCATGTTGGCTATTGACAATTTATGGAATAATTTGAAAAGAAGAGCATGATAGCAAGACTACTAGAACCTTTGCAAAAATACTTTGGCCTTCTGCTTGGCTGTGTGCCACAAGTTCTTACAGGTTTTTTTCTTGTGTAGAGATGAAGACCCACATAGTTTCCCGCGTCACGCACTTTGAAGCATCTTTCCAGCTCTGCCTCAGCCTGCTAGAGGCAACTACTTGACCCAACTTGTGCTGTTGCTGAAGCTGTGCCACCTAGCAGGGCTCCATGCCCCAAACACCCTGCTAGGATTTGCATTTCTAATACGACAGCTGCTCTTAAGTGAGAAAACTTCGCGCTGTTTCAATTATTTAAAAAGCTGGTGGAGGTTTTTAGAGCAATCTTACCCTCCTGTGGAAGTCTGACGTGTGAACCTTGTGGTGGGCAGCACTGACTTTTGGTTGGTGTTGGTATTCTTGTTATTTCAATGTACTGAGGCCAGAGGTGGCCACTGGATGGTTATTGTATTGCAGGACAGTGGTGCTCGCTCTTCATGTCATACTGGAAAAAACTTTCTTCCCATTCATCGTTGTCTGATACCTGTGGCAAGCGTGGAGATTGTTTTCCTGGGAAAGTAAGAGCGAAGTTTGCAAAGATAAACGGCTGTTAATTGGGTGAATTCATGTGCGTGCTGTGATGGCAACAGTAGGGCTGTAGTGTGGATTTAAAGCTGATGGTTGCTGGTTAATCCAGGCAGTTGAGAGCTCCCGAAGGTCCCAGCTGTGGAAAAAAGCTTCGCTGAAAGCTTACAGGTTCTTATATGCTTCGATCATGTTTCAGACATTTTGAAATAGATTTCAAAGCTGTGTTCTTGTGCTCAGAAAGCTGTTTGTTATCTTCCTGTACTATAATTAAAAAATACTAAATTTAAAACGGTTAATTTTAGAAAGTGGGGCATTCTTCAAGCAGATATCTTTTGAGAAAGTTGTTTATTGAGACAGCTCTGACACTGAGCAGCCGACAGAGAACGGGGAGACCCCACGTTACTGCCCTGAAACCTGTGCCTCCATGAACTCTTCTTGGGAAACCCTTTTCTTATGATCCGTCTGTGGAGGGGGAAGGCCTTGTTTTCACTATAAATGGAGTAGAGCAGACCAGATGATTAGAATATTGGGTCTGGAAAAAATGATCATTTGAAAAACTGATGGTTATATTTTAATTGCATGAAAACAATTACATGGTCGTGGCCTCTAATATCTGCATTTCTCAAAATGTTTTTGTTAGAACTTGCAAGAATTGTGCTGGGAGAGGGCCGGCTACTTCTTCGATCTACCAGATTTCTTATCTTGGAAAGCCACAGGTGTCACGGCAAGGTATGTTGGTTATAACGACAGGATTTGGTTTTCTTCCTCTGTTTTCTTCTATATGTTTGCTTTAATTAATTTTGACTGGACATGCTGCTGTGTACATCTGTCTGTAATTCAGCCTGCTCCAAAACATCTTGAACCTATCTCCTGCTTCCATTGTGCATTCCTGAACGCAGTTCCTGTGAGCAGTGTAATTCACAGATACAGTATGTTGCTACAACTGTCACTTAATTGGTCTTGTGCTCCATTTTGGAACATAAATACCATTGCTGTAGTTACTGTGAAATATGCTTCTAATAATTCGTTTGAGATCTGTTTTTGTTGACAAATGTATTGACTTTTTTGAGTACTGGAGGAAGACACTTCTTTTCCATGTGGGAGGGATCTGTTAAAATCTTGCTTGAAATGGTTGCTTCGCTGTAAAACACGGCAGCTGTATTGCTCCCCAAAAGCATCCTAGAATACCTGCTCAGCAGTTTGACAAACCCCTTTGAGAGGACCCCTTTAAAATCTTGGCTAAAGTGAGCAGTGCAAGTGAAGCACATCTGCAGATAAACAAGTCCTTGTGAAAAGTGAGCTACAGTGTTGTTTATGTAAAATAAGGTCTTATGGACCAGTTACAAGCTCAGCTCATTGCAGTTTGTGGAGCTGAATCTGGGCAAAAATTAGTGTAAATGAAAACTGATTAGAGGATCATTTTAGTCTCCCTGGAAATGGGAAGATACCTTTGCATCAGACATGGTTCCTTTTATTTGTGTGCTCTCTTTCTCCCTAGTTAGTCTCCGCGGTTGACAGCTATTGTTAGATACTATAGATATTA